TGATTCACCTTTCTGTTCTTCCTGCCAAAAGCAGTCTAATATTATTGCTAAGTTTTGGATACTGTTTAATTGTATCCTCCTACCCCTCTGAGAGCTCATGTGATTGGCACTTGGTTCCCATGGTGACAGGCTCCGTGGAATTTAACAAAGTGTAGACTAGTGGGATATTCTTCGGTGCTCTGTGAATCCCATTCTTAGGTAACTCCCGAAGTTCTTGAGACACAGTTGTTATAGAAGGATTAATCCTGGCCCTCCTCATGTCTTAGGGTTTCTGATTAGATAAGGGATTCTTCCTCCATGAGCACTGCAATCATCCACTGTGAGACTCATCCCAGAGGCTGGACCATGTTTGAACTTTTAGTTTCCAGAAATATGATTCAAATTAAGATCTCTATTTCATTAAGCAGGCTATGTCAAATAACAACAACCTGACAAATTAAAAAAAGCACTCAGAATATTTCTTCAGTGGAGTAATTCAGCAAATACACAATAGAGACCTTGTTATAGACTTAATGTGTCCTTCCAGTAGTGGTATGTGGAAATCTCAGTCCCCTTATCTTAGACTGTGACTATGTAGGGTAGGCCATATCCAGTAAGAGTTGCATCCAGGGTGGAATGGGGATAAGAGAGGGTGATGGGAAGTGGATCAAAGTCCAATGTATGCTTGAAATTGCTATTGTGTGACATATTTTTTCCCAGAGGAGATGAAACACACCCATCTACTCACTCCAGATGACAGAGCAAAGTATGGATACCACCAAAGTACCAAGTCCAACTTGGTGAACCAATGACTTCTGTTGGGGTTGCTAGAGGAATATGGGTTAGGGGTTACTTACAGAAGCAGAAAGGACTCAAAGACAGCTGTATCTCCAAAGCCCGTGGAGTGACAGCTCCCAAAACCTGGGAGCCTGGAATGCATTGCACAGTCTGTGGGCAGCTCCACAGGCCAGGGACTGTTGTGTCCAGGTGCCCCAGGTGGTCTGAGCCTCTTCCAGGCAGCTGCTCTGGTCTCAGAGACTTCTTTGCCTTTGGGCTTGTCTGACACTCATTCTTTACTGTTCATGTGTTCTTGAGGAGGCAAGAGTCTAATGAATCTGATCAATTTCCAGGACTTCCTAAAGTTGTTTTGAAGCTGTTATTTACTTTCTTTTTTTTGGGGTGGGTGGGTGGGTTTCAAGACAGGTTTCTCTGTGGCTTTGGAGGCTGTCCTGGAACTAGCTCTTGTGAACCAGGCTGGCCTTGAACTCACAGAGATCTGCCTGCCTCTGCCTCCTGAGTGCTGGGATTAAAGGCATGCAACACTACCGCCTGGCACTTTCTTTCTTTTCTTAAAAATTTTTATTTATTTATTTATTTTGGGAGTAAGATTTGGGACAGAGTTTTAAGGCCTCTCTGTAGAGCCCTGGGTGTCCTAGAACTTGTTACACAGACCAAACTGTCCTTGAGCTCACAGCGATCCGTCTACATGTGTCTCTTACATGCTGGGATTACGGGTTCCTGCCTCCCCTCCATGCTGGCCTGCTTCCTTTCTTAATGAGATTCCCCGAAGGACGGAGTGTTTGAATCTATGGGAAATGCTATACGACAACTGTTGAAGAGTAAAATAAGAAGCACAATAAAGAGAGGACGTAATTAGGACAGAGAGATGGAAGTTGGTTTACGTGAAGTAGGTCCCATTTACAAGCCGTGGAGAGAAGGCTCCTAAGAAGCGGACATGAACTTGCTGTAATCCCCACAGGATGGCTAAATTACTCTGGCAAGGATTTGGAGAAAGCTGTTTTCATAAACTGCCAATGGGAAAGTTACACAATTTAGTACCATGGAAAGTACTTCTGCATTTCCTGGAAAATCAGACATGTATTTCTTATTTTACCCAGCATTCCACTGTGGCACATGTCCCAGGAACTGGAAAGCGATGTTCACTTAAAAATCTGTACAAACATACTGAACTCATCTCTATTTATAATAGCTAGTCTGGGAACAATCCAAACACCTTCTCACTTGTAACGTGTGGAACTACGTATGTGATCTTATTGTAGAACTCTACTCTGTTGTTGAAAAATGTCAGCAACACACTATTGGCACACACTATAGTTTGGATGACTCCAAAGGGCGTTATGCTGAGGGAAAAAGAGGAACTCAAAAGTCAGCGAGTGAGCCCATTCGCATAACACTTCTGAGATAATGAGATCTAAAGTGGGTCTGGGAAGATGGCTCAGCCAGGAAAGCACTTGTTTGCAAACCTGAAGACCCAAGTTCAGATCCCCATCCATGCTTGGCCGCAATATTTATTGTCTATCTGATAGGATCTAGAATTACCTGGAAGGGGTTATCTGGATAGGTTAGTCTCTGGGAAGGTCTGTGAGGAATTGTCTAGGTTATGTCAAGTGAAGTAGAAGGCCACATGGGAATGGAGCATTCATTGTTCTCCGCTTCCTGGCACAGGGTGTGATGTAAGCATCAGCCTCGGGCTCTTGCTGCTGTGACTGTCATGGCGGCCCTCACCTTGAACTATAAACCAACGTAGAGCCTTCCTTCCTCAAGTTACTTTGGTCAGACATTTTGTGGCGATAACAAGATAAGTAACTAATACACCAGGTAAAAGGCAGGGTGGTGCATACCTGTTATCAGTCCTGCAAGATGGGAGACAACGCCCCTGGAAGCTTGTAGGCTACTAACTCTCCTGGCCTGTGTGGTGACGTCCCAGGCTGGTGTGTGTGTGTGTGTGTGTGTGTGTGTGTGTGTGTATGTGTATGTGTATGTGTGTGTGTGAAACAAAAGGTGAAAAACACTGCACATATCCGTGCACACACACGCATGCATACAAGCACACCACACACACCTACAAGTAAACCAGAATGCAATGTAATAAAACAACCGACAGGGTGGTTTGTAGCTGGACTATCTACGAGAATATCAGTCACCATTATGAGGACACTGGTGCTCTGGAGAGATGTTTATAACCCAGACACCTAGGCAGGAAGAAAAGTCACAATAATTTATGGTACTTAAGCAACATTTAAATTTTATCTTTTCTTCCAGTAGCTTTTGGGAAGGGATAAATGAAAATGTATAGGGAGAGCATAAGCTTTGCCAAACCACATCCCCTTCCCCCACTGTTCTCTTCAGAGCTTCTGAAGCCCATCTGCTCTGCTCTGTCACACCTGTAGGGGGGGGAGGGTTACACAGAGTTGAGCCTGGATGTCCAGGCAGTTAAGGCTGGGGATGCAGCTCAGTAGCAGAGTTCTGACTTCACCACACTGCCAGAGGAAAAAAAGTCTCCATCCTTTGTATCCAAAGATCTTCAGGTGACTTCTCAAGTATGAGGTTTGTTAGGTCATTATCAATGCCTAAGTCATCATCCTACTGAAGCCGTGACAACATTTAGAGTCAAGCGTTACTCAGGGAACGGAACTCTAAATTTACTCTGAGGCCAGAGCTCTTTTCTCTACTCTCAAGAAAGACTGTATTGGACAAATGGGTACATTCTGCTTGTTCCTTATATTTCCTAAATCCCCCCTATTCTGTTTTCATCTCTTTCTTTAAAGCCACAGCCTATGAACCAGCAGGGGTGGAGATGTCCTTGGGAGGAGAGTTGGGACAAAAAGATGCTGCCTTTTGGCTAGTGCAGGCCTGAGGGCTCTGTCTGATTTGGTATTATTTTGGAGTTGATCCTGGCTGATTTTGCAACTCTATGCCAATACCAGTCTGTTCAGGGCCATTATGGACATTGCTCAGAACTCATGGTACTCCAGGTTACGATCCTTGTTGTAGCTAAGATCATGTATCTGGCAGAAGTCCAGGATAGTAAAGATGGTGTGTGTGTGTGTGTGTGTGTGTGTGTGTGTGTGTGTGTATCTAGATAACCATTCCTTGAAGACTCTTAAGGTTATTGTTATTATTGTTGTTATTAATGTCATAATGAATTCTTCCCTCTCCCATTTTATTGTGTCTAGACTCTGTTTATTTTCCCACCCTGTCACAAAAATTGATGTGGTGGTTAAAATTGTAGACTCATCAGTTTAGGTTTCAAGCATCCCAGGACATCTCCAATTTACCCGCTTTAGTTGCAGGTACAAATGAGATACTCTCCTCTTTTGACATGTCTGTATTTTATTCTGGATGGATTCAGAGTCGGTTGCATCTATATGATAGATCTGTGTAAGGAGACCTCTTCTATACTGCTGGAAGCATGAACTGAGGCTAGGAACAAAATCACATCTATTTTTATGGCCAATGGTGTCCTGATAATATTGATGCCTGACATACACCATCCCCACGTTCAGAAAGAGCACGACACAGTATCCTCTCCAAATTCTAGGCAGCCGACAGTCATGTACAAGGAGTATGTGCTCATTTTGACTGTTGTCATGGTAGGGTGGATACATCTCTGGGTCTTTCTTAATCAGTATGGTCTTATATTCAAGGGCACGATTACAGTGGAGTCAAATCCCACAGCCTTGTTCAGAAAACAGGTCCCACATTTCTTATGGAATAAGATCAGATCAGTGACATTTCCTGACTCCATGGGTGAACACGACATTTAAGGCGGTCATGGAAGTGGCTTGAGAATATAGCCCAGCTGCTCTTCCTAATCTAGAACTCATAACATATACACTCCCAGTTATTTCAAGAGTTCTGACTGTTGTGATCAGCTGGTTGGAGACAGGGATTGTTCTGCTGGATCACAGGGTTGTGGGAGTGTGCAAGGTGGTGAATCATCGGGGCTGCAGCGTCTGTCTTTGTCAACGGTGCATCAGTCTTATGACTGAGGGCTATTGTCAGCCCGGTGAGCATTATGATCGCATAGGTGTAAAACACTTTTGCTGTTGTGGAAAGGTGTTGTCTCATGAGGCTGGTTCACAGGAAACCGGAGGGCTCCCTTGTCTTTACTGTCCGGTACAGAACAATTACAAACAAGAGAGTCAGTGGTTTTGGACAGAAGCTATTTTCATGGCAACAAAGGCTGCAAAGAGACAGCAAGAAAGCTTCAGAGGAAGTTAGCATGAGGATTTTATTGATGCCAAGAAGGATGAAGACACGATATTTTCAGATAAATTCTTTTACTCAGGAAAAGTAGGAAAACTAAGTCAATGGCGATCTGCTGGAGAGGTTGGTGAACCCACTGAGGCATGTCGGGTCACAGGACTGAGAGGAGAGCAGACAGCTAGCTGTCAAGCACCGCAGAGCAGCGATCACTCCGAAGTCACCTCTGAGGTCCAGGTGGAGGCTCTTGTCACTGCTCCGCTCTGCTGCTTGACATCTCTGTTGTGTCCTGAGGGACACTGCTTCCGTTTTCACCCGTCTCGGGAGCGTCCTGTAGAGCCCTCTGGAGAACCATTTTGAGGGTCTGGTGCTTCAGCTGCTGTCTGAAGGAGCCCACGAAGAAGTAAATGATGGGGTTGGCACAGCTGTTAACAGCAGTCAGGACGAGTGATGCCAGATAAAGACCGTAAGCAACCGCACCGTAATCAATCTTAATCCAGATTAACAGGAACCAGTGGATACCAAAGGGCAAGCCGCAGAGGAGAAAAACCAGCACCGTGAGCATGATGGTTGCATACAATCTGCTGAGCTTTATCCGACCAGCGCCGCAGAACAGCCTAGCCAGCAGGGCTAGGCTGGACAGACAGAGGACCACAAACAAAAATATCAGGCACGCGGCGGTGAAGAAGTTTGATACCAGACACCGCTCGTCATTTTCGTATTTGGCATCTAAGAAGCCACAGAAATACCGGTTCAGAATGCTAATCAATATCGACAGGACCCAGATCGCAGCGCACACGACACTGGATGTGTGTTTTGGGCGGCGGCAGCGATACCAGATGGGGCACAGGACCGACAGGCAGCGCTCGGTGCTGATGGCACTGAGCATGCTCAGGCCTGAGATGTAGGGAACCATCATGACGGTGTTAAAGCACGGGAGGAAGATAATGTCGGGATAGGAAAACTTGAGGAGAAGCAGCGTGGAGTCTATGATGTGACAGAGGAGGAAGAGGAAGTCGGCCACGGCCAGGTTTAGGATGTAGACGGAGAAGGCGTTCCTGCGCAAGCGGAAACCCAGGAGCCAGAACACGATGGCGTTTCCTGTCATCCCAACCAGTCCTGAGATGACGATCATCAAGTTTGGGACCAGGGTCCTGCTGTTGAAACTTCCAGGCACAGTTTTGTCCATTGGATTTGTTGTGACTGCCATCCAGGAGGTTGAGGTGTTTGGGCTCAGAAACCCTGCACCGGTGCTGCTGGGAACACAATGAAGACGTGAGGTCTGTTGTATGCACACGCCTTTCGTTAGAGATGTATTTTATCAGCACATATATTAGCTGCATAAGAGTTTTATTGTGAGATTTTCAGACATGCATATATTTTTATGATCCCCAATTAATTGCCAGGCCTACCTTGCCATGTAGGAATAACAGTTCTTATGTTTCAGAGGAGGTGGTGCAGGCCGGCAGAGGTCAGGCAACTTATTAAAAATTCCAAAGCCCCGGAACCTGCCCCCTCCCTTTGAGCAGTCCCTTAGAATCATCATCACGGTGTATGATTATATGTAGATGGGAGAAAAGGCAGAAAAGAAATGTCCAAATTAGGGTCAAGATGGCAGTCAATGTCATGGGTTAAGAAACCACTGGGCTTAAATGAAGTACAGAAAGAGTAAGGAAAAGAAGCTACCAACGTGGAAAAAAATAGTCATTTAGGAGGAAAAAATCCCACGTCTCCTTCCTTCCTTCCTTTCTTTCCTTTCTTTCTTTCTTTCTTTCTTTCTTTCTTTCTTTCCTTCTTTCTTTCTCTTTCTCTCTTTTTTTTCCCTTCACATACCAAGTATATCCCCACTGCTCAAAAACGTCTGAAAAGTCAGCACAGTCTTTACTAACGTGTAGGGAATTGTTGTGAATGATCAAGATGCCTTCCGAAGGCAGGAGGCCTGGCCCAGGAGGGGTGGCCTGGGCGGTAAGAGGACACCCTGTCCTTGCAGAGGACCCAAGCTCAGTTTCTAGCACCCAAGTCAGGCAGCTGAAAAATGACTATGACTCCAGGTGACCCCACGCCGTCTCCAGGCCTCACTCTTCTGTAAGTAGCCCCCCCCCCCCCCCACTAATTTGGTCAGACTAATTGGCCAGCAATCCCCAAGGACCCTTCTGTTCTGCTTTCTTAGTGTTAGCATTACCGGTAAGTGCTACACTTGGCTTTTATGGGTGATGCCCGGTATTTGAATTCAGGGCCCCATTGTTGTTCAGAAAGCACTTTACCAACTGAGTAGTCTTCCCACAACCACTCTTCCTTTATTTAGTTCATTAGGGAAGGTCACGATCTCTTAGTTTTTGCTGCTGAGGACTGAAGCTGAGGTTTGTGAATGCTAAATCCACATACTACCCTCAGGCCTCCTTGAAACCTTCAGCTTGTTGGCAAAGCACACCATCTTCAGTCAAGGCGTGGTCTGTAGATTTAGTGTTCATAATCTGACCTTGTGCATACAGAGATCTCAGCAGCTCCATCATTTACTTTGAGCTCCCAAACTTGAGGTTTGTGGTGATTTAGCAGTTGGGGGTGTTGTCACTATTTCACCACTAGAGGGTGTTCCAAGCCCAAGTTTGTACTAAATTGAGCGATTGCTTTAGTCTTCGTAAGAAAACTAGGGGAGCTCCTAAAAGGGAAATGTGTTTACAGAAGTCTCAGGTTGGTTCTGTGTTAGACACAGGCACCTCTCTGGCCACCAACACATGCTCAGGCATTGTAGCAATCGTTCCAACTCTGGTGTCTTCACAGAGTAGTTAGCTCTCACACAATGGCTTGGTGTCTATTTTCGTTTTTCATCCTCAGTCAATTGCTCTCTATTTTGTACTACCTGGGATTGGGAGGGGGACGCAGTGGGCATTATGACAGGGAAGACTGAGATCCCTAAGCCCACAGAGACCAGCGTAGCATTCGGGAGCAACAGTCTTTCTGTTGCAGGTTTCCTTTTGCTGTGGTAAATTTATGGTGAAAAGGAGCATGCTCAGATACAGGTGATGCAGGCCAGGATAGAATCCAAGCAGCTAGGGCCACTTATCTTCCCATCTGGCATGGGGGCAGGTTCAGAGCCTTCATGATGGGTACTCTTCCGGGAACAGAGCTCTGTATGGCTCTGGTCAACACCAGGTTTTCTGGTTCACGCTGAATTCCAAGGAATCCTGAGCATACTGCTTTGTCTTATCAGCAGCAACTGGGATTCTAGTCAGTGGTGTGCTTTCTGAGGTTGGGAGATGGATGACGACATTTGCTGAAGTCAGTTTCACCAGAGTCTAGTGGATGAAGGAACCTGCACTACCTCAGGGATCCACCAAAGTCCAGACTAAGGATGATGATGATGCAGGTGAAACCCAAGTCTTTTCCTTTAGGGAACAGGTCTCTGTGGCATGTCAGGGCTGGGCTAGAGAGTCACTGAGGCTCTGCAGAGTGTGGGATCACACTGTGGTGGGTCTGGCATCATGGTCCTTGGAATACACAAGAACTGCAAGGCAAAGTCACATGCTCACTTTCCTGCTCCACCTCCCAGCAGGTGGAGGCTTCTTTCAGGTTGTGGTGTCTAAAGTCGGGTAGAGGCGGCGGAGACAGGCACTAGGCCTGCGCTAATGTAGCTCTTGAGTTTCAGTTCCTGGGTGCTTGCTTAGAGGAAGGGCTATGGGGTTCTGACTGGCACTAAGTGTCATAATGAAAAACCTGGCACAAGATTTTAAGTCTAAAGTCAAGACTCTGTCTGCTTTCCTTTCTAGAAGTGGCAGGCATCTCTCTCTCTGCTTTGCTGTGTGTGGACTTGGGGAGAGGCGATGCAGGCAACTTTCATACTAATATAAAATATGCTAATACCAGGCACTCTAGTCTCTTGCCTAGTTTCTTAGTTCTTGGGATGATGCTACGCTGAGTGAATAGGCATTCCAGAATGAAGGCAGATGGGGGAAGATGGCGAATCAGAGACATCTACTTTTGCATTTCCACTGATCAAGCACATGGTTGCCAAGAGGGGGGTTGGGTGGAGAGGCAGGAAGGGCAACACTGAACAGTAGACCAAGACAAAGAAACACTTGGAGATGCTGAACTTTAGACTTACAGAAGAAACAGTAGACCCTAACATAGGATGATGAACAAAGGAGTAAGGAAGTGTGACCAAAGTCGGGCTGCAATCAAAGGAGAAACGCTAACAAGCTGCTTCTCTGCAATCATAAGGTGTAAGGCTGTGTCTGTACCCTGGAAGCATCCACTGGAGGAAGGGTCCCCAGCACATCCTAACTTGCTCATTATTGCCAAGGGAGGGGATTATGGTAGGAGAAGTTGCAAAGACAAACCTTTTGGTGTAGGAGGCAACATCACACACACATTTTTTTTTTACATAACCAGGCCCAAAACGTACCTCACACCACCACTGGATGTGGCTGTCCAGTCTGAGAAGCAGTGTGGATCTAGGAATTTGGTTGTGATCATGGACCTGGATCTACTTGGGTGGAAAGTACTAACTGCTGAAGAAGTAATAAAGGCAAACACACAAATTTCAGGGTACAAATGCAAGGGATATGGAAAGTAATTCAGTGTGCTATATTAAAGAACCCAGAAGTCCTCTACAACTGAGTATAAATATGCCAGAATGGTTGGAATGCCAGATAAGTAATTCAAAAGTCTGTTAAAAATTACCAACAACCTGAAGGTATATTTGAACAAGCTGATGAATGAAGTGAGGGTGTCTGTTGAAACCTACATGAGGCCAGGTGTGGCAGCACACACCTTTAATATCAGCTCTCAAGAAGCAGAGGCAGGTGGATCTCTGTGACTTCAAGACCAAACTGGTCTACAAAGCAAGTTCTATGTCAGCCACAGCTATACATTGAGACCCTGTCCTAACCAAACCAAACCAAGAAAAACAACAACAGCAACAACAAAAACAACAACACTTGATGAGAAAATCAGAAACAGGGATGAGAAAGTCAGCAAGAAAATTGAGATTTTAAAAAATAGCAAAGAAACAAAAGAAAATCAAATACAAACCTAAGTGGAAATGTTGAAAGTGAAAAGACTCAATAAATTAAATAAAAACCCAGTGGGAAGGATGAACAGCAGGTTACACGAAGTAGAAGAAAATCAGGAACTCAAGACAAGGTCAAGGACTCAGCAATAAAGAAAAGACAACTGGGTATGACTATGATTTTCAAGAACGCTGGGCCATTATTAAGAGGTAATACCCAAGAATAAGGGCTCAATCTACCTTCAAAGCAAAACATGTCAAGATTACATCTAGAATTCCAAGATAAACGCGTGGTTCTGCAGCCATGCACTTGATGAGAAGAAACACAAGAAGGTTCTGGATGTTTCTCATGTCAATGAAGATTGCTATCTGCAGCAATATTCTTTTTAAAGAAAGTGACAGAGAGGCAAATACCATCCCCCCAGACAACTAAGAAATTCATGGCCAATAAGTGAGCACCACAGATTCTAAAGAACCCTACACTTACAAGGAAGAAAGAAAGATACAAATACCAGAGCCTATGAAGGAAGGAACTTCACAAGAGGAAGAGATGAACTGTTGGAAGCTGGAAAGAGTAACACGTTGAAGCTCAGTAAACCAGAAAGCTTGAAAGATGAACAAGAGAGAGAACGAAGTGTTCAAGCCAAACCAATAAAGTAATATCAACCAAATTAGAGGTTTCAAGATATACTCCTCAACAATAACTCAGTGCTGTAAACAGCCTTAAAACTCAATTAGAAAGACACAGAATGGATGACAGGGTTAAGAACAAAGTAGAACTGCTTGTTGACTACAAGAAACATCCCTCTACTGTCGCACCTGCTGTGCGGCCTGCATCCGAGAATGCAGCGAGGTGGTCGGGATAGATAACACAGAGACCGGTCGGTTGCTTTAAGAAAACTTTATGCTTCCCAAGTCAGCTTAGGAGGAGACCCCAGTCCGCTTAGGAGAGAGCTCTCAGGAGAAGTCTCTCCAAGAAAAAACGCTTCCCCCTTTTAAGGACTTCTGCCATCCATCTACATACAATTCTTTCCAGACTTCTCACCCTCCTGGCTGGTGGTTTAATCTCCGGCCCCAGAATCGGGGGGAGACACAGCAGGGAAACAGGAAGAGGCATCTAGCCATAGGGGTTGTGAAAGGCATGGTATTTCAGTGAGCAAGCCCTTATCTGAGCCCTATCAAGAGCTTTAGCACTGAATTGTTTTCAGTAAACATTACACAGCTGCCTGCTCCCAGGCCAAAGGG